CACCTGATTTATGTGCGTGTGTGTGTGTGTGTGTGTGAGTGTGTGTGTATTCATGTGACGATGTTAATTATTGTAACTTTATAATTTATGAACACCTATGGGGCAGTCCCCCTTCATTTATTTCACTACTTTCTAGGCTCTTCTTAGTAATATATTTCCCCATATAAACCTTGGAACTGGCTTGTATGGCTTTGTAAAATAAAGCCAGGCAAGGCATAAAACCAAAATATAAAAGCTTTGTAAGTGCAATTTATTAAATTAGTAGGGAGCATGGATACATGTGTTTGCAACATAATACTTCCTCTAAAAATATTTTCTTCTTTATTATAAATCTATGTTGCTGGAGCCTGGGATAGTTAGCGCTCCGTTGTTTTTTCTGCTTGCCGAAGTGATACCACCCGAGCACCCAAGATGTGCGAGGCACCGGTGAAGCATAGGTGAACAGAACATGTGAAAACTCACGGAAGCTTGAGTTGACAAGGAAACTGCTTGGCTGGGTGATGGAACTTCACTGGAGCTGTGGAGTCGAGGGAAAGGAGGCGGGTGTGGGTCTCGGCAGGTGCTAGGCAGTGCCTTGAGTGCTAGGGGACAGAGGGGAAGAAAAGCCCCATCTTTACCGAGTTTGAAATTGAGGGGCGGAGCTAGAGCCGGACTAGGACTTGGGTCAGTAGTGCGGCAAGGGCAATGTGCTCCAAAGGGGGCTTGCACCAGCTGCTGGGGGAGTAAAAGTCAGGGAAGGTCAGAGACCGTGTCTTTGAGGAGACGTTTGCGTTGAATTTTGTAAGATTAACGTTAGCAAGATGAAGCCACGAGGCAAGAGCCTGACAGCTTTCACCGCCTGCATACTCATACATAAAAGTAACGACAGCTGACACTTGTTGGCTGTATACTGTGTAGCAGGCTTCAGGGTACGCACTGGCTGGGCAGAGCGGAATGTGGGTCTCTGCTCACGATGCGCCAGGCACAGAGGTACATGGGTCTAGGCATCCTCACTTTAGGTTCACAAAGCCCTTCTGGAGATGTTATTATGTGTTGACAAACACAGAAGCTGAACTCCGAGAGGTCAATTACTTGCCCAGTAACATGCAACCCTTAAAAACGAGAAACAGTATGTTATCAGGATTCATCTTAGGCTAGAATAATAAAGAAGCATTTACTAGCTTCCTAAAAAGTCAGCACTTATTAGCTTTCCTATTTCACAAGGGGGGAGAATAGTTTAAATAGCAAAGACAGGTGCTTTTAAATTCCTCTTTGCCTTCACTTTCTCTACCTTCTTCACTCTTTGGCATTTCAGCTGGACACAGGGTGAGAGTTGTATATGCTCAGCATTACCAAACTAAACATCATCTGTACAAGAAAACGATGAACAGAATGGGGAGGTGAAGAGCCTAAGTGTGCACATCCATGGTCTTCCACCTAAGTCTCCACCTCTCCCTTGGGGCTGGCAGGTCAAACAGAGGCCACATGCAGGCTAAGCCTGTGCTTCTACCACTGAGCTAAATCCCCAGACCTACCTTTCAAAGGAAGGTCATCTGTAGACAAAGGAGGGGTCAGATGTTCTGAAATTTCCTTCAGGAGATAGACAAACTTCACTTTCAGCAAATATACCAATGATTCTCATATTAAAGTGACAGGCAATTTGGGGTGAGCTGTTAAGTTTTCTAGGCAAAAAGTATTTCTTTATGATTCTGGCTTGATATTTGGCCATATTTGGATGTAGTGGCTTGTCCTTAATTTTTATGAAGACTGGTTTATCAATTTTGAAAATAACCCATGCTGTAGTACCATATAGAGGAACTCTGCTTAATCCAAAAAACTCACAAAAGTTTTATCTTATTTTGTTTACACACTTTTTTTTAAGGTTTTTTCATTGAGTTCTATGATCTAGTTTGGATTTTTCCTATGTGTTATAGAAAGCAAGTGTAGGTGAAGTCTTAGATTCTGGGGGAGACTGAAATGAACAACCAAAATCAAAACTAAAACAAAAAAAACTTTGCATTTGTCATGAATGCAGGACAGTGTTACATTTAGTTTTCCAAGGTAAAGTTACATTTGTTCTATTCATTTTAAATTCTATCATGATAGCCAAAAACGAACAACAACCTAGCAGCCTCATTCACAGGAGATGCATGGAACATATAAAGACATTGCAGTTGTATTGTTTCCCCTCAAGGACTCAAAGAAAACTCTTGAACTTCTGTGGTTGGCTGGATTCAAGGGCAGACCATGGACCGTCCTTTTTGCTAAAAGATTATGCCCATAGTAGTATTAGTTTAGAACGGAAGGTGAGCTCAACACAGCAGAGAGTGGGAGGCAGTGATAGACTTCATTCCCACAAAGATTTGAATGTCCGCTGACCTCTACAAGAAGACAGTATTGTATCAGGATCTTTTCCAAGACCTTGGAGTTGCTGCATGTCTTTACACTGGTTGTATTAATGCTACAACAGGTTTACTTTGTAACAGAGAGAGGGCAAATTACAAAGGAAAAGACATCTGTTGCCCCTATCGGGTTAAGGTCTCTAAAAATATTTCTCCTTTCAGTGACCACTTGCTGCTCTGACGTTTTGGTCTTTTGCTCTGGAAATAGGACATGTAGAATTCTTCTGCTTCCTTCCCTATAATTGGAATATGCTGACCGCGTCTCCACTACAGAAGTGGAGGCTTCGTTTGATTTGCAAAACTTTGGGGGGCTCAGGGTTTTGATGAGTAAAGAAGGGACCTTTCCAAATGTCTTCACAAAGCTTGAAAAGCTATGCATTCTTCATTTCAAAAAGAATTTAGGACAGTGCATGGGTGGCACATTCCTAGAAACCCAGCAATTTGGGAGACTGAGGCAGGACGATTGAAATTTTGAGCCCAGCCTGGGCAATTTAGTGACTTAGCACGACCCTGTCCTATAAAGACTAGGGATGCAGCTCTGTGCAAAGCTCCTGAGTCCAGTACTAAAATCAAGAGACAAAGGATTCCGTTCATCCCACTGATTCTAAAGAAACGTATTATTCGGTGATGAGCTACATGATTAGTGATTCGGTGACTGTTGATTGATCAAAATGAAGGAAAGGATTCTCTCAGAAATCGGCCAACTTTGCAATCAACTTCATATTAGTCAGATTGATGCCTGGACTAAGCAGAGAAGACCCATGAGATTTTTTATTTTTCTTTTTTTATATTCCTCTTTTTAGTTATTTTGTTACTGTTATTTTATTTTAAGTCCATATAGTATATAAAATAAAACAGATAAATCAGATTTATAAAATAAATTGAAATGTTTGGATGAAAAAACACAAGCATTTTGCCTTCAGGTCTACAGATCTCTCAATAAAAAAAATTTTTTTTTCTTGAGATAGGGTTTCACTATGTAGTTCAGGTTGTCCTTGAACTCACTATGTAGCCCAGGTTGGCTTCATAGCGATTCTCCTGCCTCAGCCTCCCAAAGTTCTGGGATTCCAGGCGTGTGTCACCACCGCTGGCTAAATTGTTGGTCTTGCACTTTAGATATCAAAAAAAGATAACTACCTTAAAAACAAAAAGTTGATATGCTGCAAGGTTAAACTAGTTTGGTGATGGGCCAGGAAATGAGAGATTTTCTGAGCCTTATCCTAAAATATTGGCTATAACAAATGCTGATATGCAAAATCCAAGCTTTTATCAAACAGCAAGAGAGAAATTTGAGTGAATGAATGCAGTTTACATCCAAGTTCTCTGAAAGGAGGTGAAAAAGTAAGCTGGGGATATAGGTCAGTGGCAGAACACTTGGCTAGATGTGTGAGGCCCTTGGCTCGATCCCCAACACTGTATAAGGCAAATGGAAAAGAAAAAAGGAAAACAAGGGAAGAAATAGAGTAAAAGAAATTCTTCTGGGTGTGGCCGGGTAAGTGAATCTAAGGTAACTACACCAAAGATATGTGACCCCTTATTCCAGCATGAGACTGGTGGTAAACTATCTTAAGATAGCTTTTAAAACATTTTCTGAGACAAGTTCTTGCTGTGTTCATACGGGCCTTGAACTCATTATGCAGTCCAGGATGGCCTCAAACTAGAGGTACTCTTCCTGCCTCAGCTTCCCAAGTGCTGGGATTACAGGCATGTGCCACCAGGCCCCACTCCTAAAGATATCTTTTTTTTCCCCTTAAGATATCTTAGACCCAGAGAAATATATGAAAAATATGAAGATTAACCAAATATATTAAAACCAAACCTCCAACAGTAAAATATCTCTTCAGATTTGAAATCAAAGAAAGTCATTTTTCATTGTGTGTTGCTGAGGCAGGAAAAGTAGCAAATGTAGTTTTTTTTATTTCTACTGGAGGAAGAGGATAAAGAGAACTGTATTCCAATTTGTTCTCCACTGTGTATACACACACCCACACGCATACAAATACACACATACACCAAATTTACCCCCCAAAACAAAACAAAAATCCAATAATCAAAACTCCAACCGCCCTCAAACTGTACCAATACTTCATATTTTGACCAAAAGAATAGATCTTGGTAGGAAGTGCAAAATGCAAAATCAAATGACCAAAAGATGCTGAACAAACAGCATTATTAATATGCAAAATATTTATATTACTGAACTAGAAACAGATGATGTTCTCTGTGTCAGTAAAACTTTGGAACCATATAGCTGATTTGTTAAATCTAGTCCACGCCAGCTTCCAAAAACCAGAAAGATTTTAGCTAGCTTCATTCTTTGATGCTTCATCGAAATTTTCTATAAGATCATCATCTTCTTCATCAACATCTTCTGGTTTTGGTGCGTTTCTGTCCAACATTTGCAGTGGGAACTGTTCAACTAATTTTCTAAGACTTGTTAAGCTGTCAGCACCAAGCTGACTTAATTTTCCAGGAAGCGTTTCTGTGACTGGCTTGGCTTCTGGGTGACCTGGAACTGCAGAGGTGTTAGCAGACAGGGAAGCTTGGACTTTGAAAGGAGTAACTGTCTCATCATCTTTCATGACATTCACCTCTTCAGTACCAGCTATATTATTCACCGCCAGTTTTTTCAGAGAACACTGAAGCCTCCTGTCATCAGCTGTAGCCGCGCTATGTACCACCTTCTTCTTTCTGCGAGCTGTACCCTTGCCTCCTATCTGGACCTGAACCTGAAGTCTGGCTAACTTTTCTTGATTTGTGCTGTTGGTAAATCTGAAGCAGGGAGGGTTTTCCAACAGCAGCACGCGGCAAGAGCAAGATGGCTGCCTCCGAGATTTTTTAATATCTGAATGACTGTGGAGTCTTGAAAGCACAAATGGCTTTCCAGGGGCCTATTCTAGCAAAGTCACTGGACTTCAGCCAGTCAGGAGGTAGAAGCGTTTTATTTCCAGAGTCTCCCTGCCTCTCTGTCCAGTCACCTCCTCCTGTTTCTTTTTCCTTCTCCTCTTCTCCCTCTTCTCTCCCTTCTTCTTTTTAATAAGCTTTCCCCTCCCCCTTCATATTATAGGAATAAATTATGCTCGTTGTAGAAGGTAAAAACATGCCGTGACTCATTTTGGGATCAAAATCAAGTTTTAACTGCTGCTGACTAGCTGCAGAAGTCGCTCAGGTGTTAATGGCAACATGAATGCTAGTTTCTTCCCAGAGTCGACGTGGGGATTTAATGACGTTCATGTATTCACACAGAGTCGGGCCAAGCACAAAGCGCTGTTGTGTTGCCAAAGATCAGGAAAACGTAGAACACTAAAATTGCCTACAGCTCAGTTGCTGGGAACTGTATCCACAGGTACATTTTATATTCTAGAATTTTCCAGGAAAGACCACCAAAGTAGTTCACTAAATATTTATTTAGTCTGGCCCTAAGGTACATGGCAAGTGACACAGAGTTATAACTCAGTCAACATTTTCTGATTTTTCTCCTGTGCCAATAATCTATTATTCAGCTGTTCATCCTCGACTTATTCAAGAAGTGACCTCTTAAGCGACAGACACCGTGACAGAGAGAACAAATGAATGAATTATATGTGCGTCAGAGGGTGATAAATATGGAGTAAGTGGGTGTGGGGATAGGGAAGGTTGTAATGGGAAACGAAAAGCAGAGGCTCTGATCACGGAGAGGTAGCTCCGCCCCAATTACAACCTGATTGGTCACTGATTTGTTTTGGCCAATGAAATGCAAGAGGAAGTGTTGCGCGACCTTCCCAAGGGAAGCTTTAAAAGCAAGCCTGTGCTTCTCATCACTCCATTCCCTATGGCAGGACGTTCTAGAAAGAGGTCACTTTTTAATTCGAAACTCTGGTGTCAGTATAATGTGCAACTGAATCTTCAGCTCTCTGATGGATATGCAGTGTGGATGAGAAATACACATTTATGTGGCTCTTTTACCAGTCTGTTTCTGGATAGGGCTTATCCTGAAACTGTCATATTTAAATTATTTGTCATATATTTTTAAAAGGTTAAATGCTCCTTTAGGGGTACGGGGTTGCACACCTGTTATCCCAGCACTGTGGGAAGCTGAGACAGGAGGATCACAAGTTTTGGGTCCAGCCTGGGCAACTTAGAAATTTAGCAAGACCTTGTCTCAAAATAAAAATAAAAAGGGGCTGGAGATGTAGCTCAGTGTTGAAGGCAGTGGGTCCAACCCCCCACACTGTGAAACAAAACAAAACAAACACAAACCGTGGAAAAGTGAAGTGAGGAGAAACTCATGGACCCTTCTCCCCACTGTTCTGCAGTCCAGCCCTGGAGCAGCCATCACCTCCAGTATAGCGATAGCTTCCCACCTGGTCTCCCTGACAAACTATTCTCCACGCTGAATTAATCTTTCCATGTCCATATCCAAAAATGTCTATTCTCCATTTACTGCTTTTCAGTAGAAAGGCACAAAAATAGATGGAGACTCTAGAAAGTGCATTAAAACGTTAAAAGAAAATTCTTCACAAAAGTATTGACCATTTCTGAACGAGAAGATTTTTGGTGATTTAAAATATTTTTCCATATAAAAATGTTCAAAAATAATCAGGGGTGGCCTCAACGGGCTCCTATCGCTAGTCATGGCAGACCGAAGATGACCAAAGAGCTGACAGGCTTCCCGTTCAAGCAGTAGGTTGAATTTTTTTCTTCTAGGATCTGGGATTGCCTGTCATTTGTTTGACCAAAAGAATGTGGTAGGAGTGATTTTTCCGGACTTCAGAGATTCAACATTTGCCTGGTTGCCTGTGGGTATTCTCTCTGAAACCCTAAGATTTCCACTGGGTAAGTGTGCCAGCCAACAGTCCCAGCTGGGCTGGGCATTTCTGGCCTCCAGGACACAGCTGCAGCCATGTCAGCGAACCATCTGGAATCCTTGGACCAGCCCAACCTTCAGCTGAATAGGGTCCTGCCTCTCCTTTGTGCTAAGAGCCAGCTGTGTTGCTCCTCAGACACATTGTAGCACGTTGTTTCCACATCTAGCTTTTCTACTAGTCTGTGTATTCATTTCCTTTTGCTATTGTAACAAATTACTATTCACAGTGCTTTAAAACAAAATGGATGTATCACCTGGAATTTTGGAGGTTGAAACTCCTCACTGGGTATCACTAGGCTAAAATCAAGTTGCTCCAAACTTTCCTTTTTTTTTGGTAGTTCCAGGGATCGATTTCAGGACCTTGTGAGGCAGGAGTGGTGACACTGAGCTAAATCCTCTGCCCTTCTTTTTCTTTCTTGTGGCCCTAGGGTAGAAATTCCACTTTCTTAGCTTTTATTACTACTGGAGAAAGTCAGCATTTCTCTTCCTCCTCTTCTTCTCCCTCCTTCTTTTCCTCCTCCATCTGTGCTGGGGATTGAACGCAGGGTCTTCACATTGAACTATTTTTTATTTTGATGGGGTCTCACCAAGTCACTAGGTTGCCCAGACAGCTCAAACTTGTGATCCTCCCGCCTTAGCCACCTTGAATGCTGGGATTACAGATATGTCCTACCACATCTGGCAGTTTTTACATTTTTAAGTGTGTATGTGGGGGACCTCAAAAGAAGCATATTTTGTGATTTGTGAAATTAGATGACATTTAAAGTTTTCAAATAAAGTTTTATTGGAACACAACCATGCTCATTGATTTATGTGTTGCCTATGATTATTTCATGCTACAGTAGTGAAGGTGAATACTCCCACGAAGACCTTATAGCCACAAAGTCTAAAGTAATTATGTATCTAGCTTTCTCCATAAAAGAGCTGAGGATCCCTGCTCTAGGGTGGCAGTGTCCAGTAGAACCTTCTTGTGACGATGGGTATCTTCCTTGTACAATCTAATAGGGGAGCCACTGGTGCCAGGAGGCACTTGAGATGGGGCTAGTACCACTGATGAATGACTTTTACATTTTATTATAATTCATTTGGGTTTGAGGATCTACCTGTGGCCACGGCCACTGCCTTAGACATCCATGGGGGGTGACATGAGGACCAGGGAGTGAGTGATTCAAAGGCCACTGCTTACCAGGTGCCAGACTGTGCTAAGAGAACAAGAGCGATGCTTTTTGAATTCACATCCTCCAGATGGAAGAACTGGAGCTTAGAGAGATTAGGTAACTGCCTGGGGTCACACAGGTACTGACGAGAAAGAGGAGGCCAGGGAGTTTCATGCCTGTGTGGTCACTTTAACCACTAGGCTATCCAACCTCACTAAGAGGAGACACAGATGTGTTGAATTACAACACGTAACAATGTGATGAGAGCTGTGAAAGAAGGGGAAACAAGGCAGAGAAATGACTCTGGGGAAGACCAGGGAAGACGGCGATACCTTCATGGGCATCAGGCATCTTATGCTGGGTTTTGAAATTCGGGTAGCGTATTGAATGATGGGTGTTTGCAAGGCAGGTAAATATAGGAACTTCAACCAAGGTGTGGCATTGGGAGAGAAGAACAGGGTGCCGTAAGGTGGGAAGCAGTTCAGTTTGAAGAGCCAGGCTAGAACTTCACTAGCCAAGGGCCACACACGTGTGTCCGTATTTGTGAATTTTTAATTGACACATAGTAACTGTACAACTTGTAGGGCACCATGTGATGCTTTGAAACATGTATATATTGTGTAATGAGCTAATCAGAGTCGTTAGCACATTTAGCACCTTATAATAATGATTTTTTATGGTGAAAATATTCTAAATCCTGCATTGTAGCTATTTGATTTCATTAATTTATTTATTTTTAACTTTTTGAGGCAGGGTCTTGCTATGTAGTTCAGGCTGGCCTTGAACTCACTATGTAGCCCAGGTTGGCCTTGAAATCAGAGCAATCCTCCTGCCTCAGCCTCTCAGCCTTCAAGTGCTGGGATCACAGGTGTGCACCACCACATCCAGCTTGTAGTTATTTTAAAATACACTGGGGACAGAAATGAACAGACATTTCTCAGACAAAGAAGTAGAAATACCAAATAAACATATGAAAAACCATTCAACATCACTGGTCATTTGAGAGATGTAAATGAAAACAGTGCTGAGATTCCACCTCATTCCAGAAAGAACGGCTGCTATCAAGAAATCAACCAATTACAAATGTTGGCGGGGTTGTGGGGAGAAAGGAACCCTTCTCCATTGTTGGTGGGAGTGCAGACTGGTGCAGCCACTGTGGAAATCATTATGGAGATACCTCAAAGAACTAGGATTAGAGGTCCCATTTGACCCAGCTATTCCCCTGCTGGGTATCTTCCCAAAAGAATTAAAAGCATCATACCTCAGTGATATATGCTCACCCATGTTTATAGCGGCACGGTTTGTAATGGCTAAAACTTGGAAACAGTACAATTGCGCATCAACTGGAGACTGAATAAAGAAAATGTGTCTTTTTTAAAAAATGAAGTACTATTCAGCCATAAAGAATGAGAAATTAGAGACATTTATAGCTGAATGGATGCACATCGAGGCAATACTCTTAAGTGAAATAAATAGGACATACGTGTAAATACTGAATAGTTTCTCTGGTGTGAGAAACTGAAAGTGTAAGGATCAAAAGGTATCGTAGATAATGTGAAATAGGAAGGAAAGGTCCAAAGGGGAGGGGGAATGGAAAGGATTGGGGAAATGAAAGAGGGTAAGAAATAAATACGAGAAAATGAAAAAATGGAAACAAAGTATATAGGGAAGGGTGGAGGGGCTGAAGGGAAGGCAGGGGGATGGGGAAAAAATAAGAACCAAGATAGATTATGGAAAGGTACAAATTACCAATATGAATGTCATCATATTGTATACCTGAAATGTACCAATACACTTAATTTAAAATTTTAAAAAAGTATAACACACACACATACACTGGGGAGGGGGAGAGAGGAGCAGATGAGGAGAGGGCAGCCTGTTAACTTGCACACGGTTACAGTTAGATAGAAAAGATAGATTCTAGTATTTTATTGCATAGTAGGGCGACCACAGCTGACAACAATGAATTGTGTGTTTAAACAGTTTCTTTGACAGCATGGTACACTTCCTCTTCTCTGTCAATACCAGCTGTCCAGATGACCTTGGCTCTCTTTTCCACTTTGACTGGAAGCTTAGTGTCCAATTTACGCTTACCTAGAAAAAAAGCAACGGAACATCACAGCTTGAATATTTGCCCTTTTCTCCCAGTGCTTGATTTCTGCACACACACACACACACACACACACACACACACACACACACACACAGGCACTTTTCTAATCTCAGCATTTGTCATAGTCACTTTCTCACTTCTGGGACACAATATTGACACCTACAACTTAAAGGAAGACAGGTTTATTTTGGCCCATGGTTACAGTCCGGGGTTGGCTGGCTTCCAGGCGGAGCCACATGGCAGAGGAAAAGCTGCTCACATCAGGGCAGCTGGGAAGCAGAGAGAGAAGGAAGGACAGCCGGGGAGGCAGAGAGACCCTTCCAGGTCCCACCGCAGCGACCCACCTCTTCCGACCTCAGCTCCCATAATTCAGTTGCTTCCCCAAAGCCAGGTCTTTGTGCACCTGAAGGCTTTGGGGACCCTCCATCCAAGCCACAGTAGCATTTTTCTTCAGTCTCTGACGTCACTTTATCCTACGTTTATTTATTGCAATGCCCTCTAACTCCTTTCGCAAGCATTTGTGGGTATAAATGTGAGGGAGGACCTAGGGTGAGTGCAGGAAGATAACGTAGAAAAGGAACGAAGGGGAGCTTGAAAAGACAGGAGGGAAGTGTTTAGAGGCAGCGTGGGACACTGTGTTCAGGCTGGCTCTAGCGGGCTGGTAGATGTTTCTGCCTTCAAGAAAAAGCCCTACTGGGCATGGTGGTGCATGCCTGTAGTTACAGCACTCTTGGTGGCTGGGTCAGGTGGATCCCGTTTGAGCCCAGTCTGGACAATTTAACTACTTAGTGAGACCGTGTCTCAAAAAAATAAAATAAAAGGGCTGATGTCATGGATGACATCCCCCAGTGTGTGCGGAAGGTGATGGGGTCACGGGGGTGCTGTGCTTACCAGTGCATCCATCCACTCAGCAGTCCAGGAGCCGAGCGCGCTGTTAGAGGTGGGGCCTGCTTGGAGGCAGGCCCCTGGGGTGACCTGGAAAAGGACATTCTGTCCCTGGCTGTTCCCTTCTTTCTTTGCTTTCTGGCAGCCATGGGATGAGCAGCTTTCCCCTGCCCGGGCCCTTCCACCATTCTTTTCTGCCTTGCACTTAGCAGACTTTCAGACTGAATCCAAAGGAAACCGTGAGCCACGTAAACCCCTCCTCCTCTAAGCTGTGGGTGTCGTGTACCAGCGACAGGAAAGTGACTGATACAGCTGGAGATACAGCTCAGTGTGAAGGCCCTGGGTTCAATTCCCAGCACTGAAGGAAAATGCAGGAAAAATAAATAGCCCTGGGCCACTTCCGTGCAATCCTCTTCTGCTAATCTCCTGTGGCCTTGGCTGGGATCCTAGCAGCTCCCACTCAGTTCTTGGAAACCTGGCGTCTGACCCTAACTCCATCCCTTGGTGGGCCCCCGCTCGCTCTCTGGACTGTCTCTGAACTCTGCTGCCACTGCCGCTGAGGGTTCGCTCCCAGACATCGGCAGCTTCGGTCTTTCGGTTGCCTGCCAGCCTTTCGAAAGTTGCCCGTTAGGGTCCCGCTCCTCCTTAAAGGGCTTCAGTAGCTCTCTGGTGAAAGGGCACGTTCACGAGCTCTGCATACTGTCCGCACCCCAGCTCTGCCTCTGTGTGACTAGGGCTTCTCCCATTTAGAGTGGGTGCCCCCACACACCCCACTTACCTTAAAGGGTGTAATGGGCGTGGGCTGAGGTTCTTGCTGTTTTCCAAATGTCCCTCCGTTTGCCTCCTCTCGTCTCTGGGGGTTTGTACACGCTTCCTCTTCCTGGAGAGTGCTCTTCCTTTCTTTCTTCAGCCCCTCAGTCATCTTACATTAGTTTAGGTGCCAGCCTTCTCTCTCTCATGAATATATTTTCTAAGCTTTTCCTAGGGACCAGAGGCTGTGCTTAGTGCCCGCTTGCAGGGACTGTCACGGTTCCTGTCAGGGCAGGTGCACATAAAACTAATGTGAATGAATGAAAGATCACCCTGGTGAGATCAAGACACACTGCAGACAAGGACATATGAGTTAGAGTTCAGCGAATCTGAAGTAAGGTGACATTAAATCCCAGCCGCATACAGGTAGCCCTCTGCATTTGTTGGTTCCACATCTGATGATTCAATCAACTGTGGATAAAAAAAAAAAAAAAAAAAGAAAAGAAAAAAAGTAGATCTGTCTTGGATAGGAACAGACTTTTCCCTTATTATTATCCTTGGAACAAAACAGTAGTAACAAGTATGGACACAGACAGCATTTACAATGTGTGAGGTACTGTAAGTCATGTGGGGATGATTTGAAGTATAAACGCTCTTCAACTGAGAAGGGACCTATATGCTGATAAACCCATAACTGTATAAGTTGAAAATATTATAAAGTCAAACCATCCTAAAGCATCAGAGATTGTGTGTGCATCAGAGAACGATGTGCAAAAACTATGCCGTTTCATGAAAGGCCCTTGAGCATTCCTGGATTTTAGAGTACGTGGGGGTCCTGTAATAAAGCCCCTGCTGATACCAAGGGACAGCGATGGGATCAGTGTGAGTGAATCGTAAAATCATTGCCGCTTGGTGGCACTACTTCAGCTGGTAACCATCAAGGCCCACCGGTGTTGCACAGAATCAGCCCTATACCACGGGTGCTCCAGAAACCTGTGCTTCGGACAACATGCTAACATTTTATATTCCAGTGGGGCTGCAGAGCAGTCCAGTTCTGCAGCTGGTAGAATGATGGCTGGTAGAAAAATACGGAGGAGAAGAGGAATAATGGGACAGGAATGTAAATTGCATTAAGGGGACTGGAGGGCAATGAGAGTCTGTCAGAATCCGGCATCACGTCCAGCTGCAAGTTCAGAATGGCAGGCTCAGTGCAGAGAGCAGCTGGGAGCAGGCATACAATGGAGAAGAGGGAGAGGGAGTGGGAGAGATGGAATATAAGTGGGTAAGACCAATTCAGGAACAAGGGATCTGGAAACACTCGGAAATGGGCGGTGAATTCCATCCTGGGATCTAAATCTAGGAGCAGGTGGGGCTGGGGCACAATCTGAGATTCAGTCCAAAAGGACCAACCATAAGAGCTGCTTGTCAGGATTCCCCAGTGACTGTCACACAAACTACTTCATAAAGAATACTAATTTCAAGGTGGAAAAACATCATACAGAGTTTCTAAGGGCAGGGAGGGGAATTTCTCTATAGTTTTCTTCAGCTTACAGAGGAGAAACGTTTGTGCTGGTTCCCTGCAGCTGAGATCACTGCACGGCAGCACGGTAAGGTGTTGTTACGGTCACGGATCAGGGGTCCCTGCTCTGTGCTGCCACTGCCAGGCTTAGAGGGACCTGGGCCAAAGCATGGCCGGCCAGCCCCAGGCTTGGTACCACTGTGACTGTGGACTGGCTGGCCACGGTCACACTCTCCTAGTCTTCCCTTCTTGGATGAGATGAAGACCAGACATTAACTGATAGGTCATTTCCAAGTTATTCAAACACAAGCCTGGAGATTTTTACCATACCATTTTCCAGGAGAGGCTAATAATACTAATAATATTATTAGCTGGCTAATAGTATTAGCCAGGGTCTTTCTGTGCAAGCAAAGAAACAAACATTACATAACCTAAGTAGAATAGAAGTTTATCGGCATTATACTGGGCATTTCACAGAAGTATGAGAACCAGGTATTGGTGCTGGAACGGGGGAAACAAAGCTTGAAATCACACTGTGAAGGGCTTGAGTGAGCACACCATTGAGGGTTCACTCCATATGACAGGATTACAAAGGAAGTTCATGAAAATAAGCCAGTCTTGGTTTCTGCTATGAGGTGAACAGCTTTCCTTTCCCATTCCCTTTTACCATGATATTTCTGCCTCGCAGCCAGATGATGGCAGACTGAAATCTCTGAAACATTAAACTAAAACAACTATTTCCTGCTTTAAGTTGTTCTTCTCGGGTATTTGGTCACAAGGATGAAAATCTGTCTACTACACTCAGCAAGTGCAACAAATGTCCCGCACAAACGCAAGACACTAATAACAAGGGAAGTCACGTGTGAAGGCAGGAGGTGTCTGAGAACCATGTAATTTCTGTTCAGTCTTTCCTCGCAAACCTAAAACTGGTCAAAAACAGTCTGCTGATTAAAAATAATTACTTGAATTTCAAATTTCAGGGTTCATAAGTTTTCATTGGAATACATCCACGAGCATTGTGTGTGTGTGTGCGTATTGTCAATGGTTGAATTTGTGCTACAAGGGTCAAGCTGAAGAGCTGCTCCAGTGGCCAGATGGTCTGCAGATCAGTGAGGGATTGCTCGAGGAACAGAACTGATAGAAAATAGCTGGGCGTGGTGGCGCACGCCTGCAATCCCAGCACTCAGGAGGCAGAGGCAGGAGGATCACTGTGAGTTCAAGACCAGCCTGGGCTACATAGTGAGTTCCAGGTCAGTCTCAACTACATAGTGAGACCCTGTCTCAAAAAACC